GTTTTGTCAATGTTTCTTTCGATTATATAATTTTTCAAATTTTTCAGTTTTGGAATTTTTGGATTTCGCAATTATCCGATTTTCCGATTTCTTTAATTTTCAATATTTCGATTTTTTAAAAATCAAAAATTAAAAAATTAAATAAAATTAAAAATTCTGAAGTTGAAAATTCGAGTACCAAGTTGAAAAAACGAAAAATTGAAATTTTAAAAATATAGAAATTTATCAAATTTAAAAACAAAGTAGTTGAATTACCGGATAATCCAAAAATCAACAATTAAAAAATCATAAATATATTTTTGAATGTTTCAAAGGACGATTCTGGAAAAACCAATGGAGTTATCGAAGAAATGAAAGCGGAAATGACTTCTGCGGCCCGAAATCTATAAGAAAATGTATTTTGTGAAATTTCGAAAATTTTGGTGAAAATTGGTCGAAAATTGGGATATTTTGCATATTTTTGAATGTTTCAAAGGACGATTTTGGAAAAACCATTGGAGTTATCGAAGAAATGAAAACGGAAATGACTCCTGCGGTCCGAAATTTACAAGAAAATGTATTTTGTGAAATTTCGAAAATTTTGGTGAAAATTGGTCGAAAATTGGGGCATTTTGCATATTTTTGAATGTTTCAAAGGACGATTCTGGAAAAACCAATGGAGTTATCGAAGAAATGAAAGCGGATATGATTTCTGCGGCCCGAAATTTACAAGAAAATGTATTTTGTGAAATTTCGAAAATTTTGTTGAAAATTGGTCGAAAATTAGGGTGTTTTGCATATTTTTGAATGTTACAAAGGACGATTCTGGAAAAACGATTGGAGTTATCGAAGAAATGAAAGCGGATATGACTTCTGCGATCCGAAATCTACAAGAAAATGGATTTTGTAAAATTTCTAAAATTTTGTTGAAAATTAGTCGAAAATTGGGGTAGGTATTTTGCATATTTTTGAATGTTTCATAGGACGATTCTGGAAAAACCAATGGAGTTATCGAAGAAATGAAAGCGGATATGACTTCTGCGGCCCGAAATCTACAAGAAAATGTATTTTGTGAAATTTCGAAAATTTTTGTGAAAATTGGTCGAAAATTGGGGTATTTAGCATATTTTTGAATGTTTCAAAGGACGATTCTGGAAAAACCATTGGAGTTATCGAAGAAATGAAAGCGGATATAACTTCTGCGGCCCGAAATCTACAAGAAAATGTATTTTGTGGAATTTCGAAAATTTTGGTGAAAATTGGTCGAAAATTGGGCTATTTAGCATATTTTTGAAGGTTTCAAAGGACGATTCTGGAAAAACCATTGGAGTTATCGAAGAAATGAAAGCGGATATGACTTCTGCGGCCCGAAAACTACAAGAAAATGTATTTTGTGAAATTTCAAAAATTTTGTTGAAAATTGGTGGAAAATTGGGTTATTTTGCATATTTTTGAATGTTTCAAAGGACGATTCTGGAAAAACCATTGGAGTTATCGAAGAAATGAAAGCGGATATGACTTCTACGGCTCGAAATCTACAAGAAAATGTATTTTGTGAAATTTCGAAAATTTTGTTGAAAATTGGTCGAAAATTGGGGTATTTTGCATATTTTTGAATGTTTCAAAGGACGATTCTGGAAAAACCATTGGAGTTATCGAAGAAATGAAAGCGGATATGACTTTTGCGGTCCGAAATCTACAAGGAGAATTTATTTTGTGAAATTTCGAAAATTTTGTTGAAAATTGGTCGAAAATTGGGGTATTTTGCATATTTTTGAATGTTTAAAAGGACGATTCTCGAAAAACCAATTGAGTTATCGAAGAAATGAAAGCGGACATGACTTCAGCGGCCCGAAATCTACAAGAAAATGATTTTTAAAATTGAGAAATTCTAAAGTTGAAAATTCGAGAAACTGTAAAAATTTAAGAAATTCGAAAAATTAAAAATACAAAAATTAAAGAATTGTAACAACAAAGAAACTGAAAAATCGGTTTACCGATAAATTGAAAAATTTAATATTGAGAAATTAAAGACTAAAAATTTTAAACATTGTATAATTGAAAAATTGCAAATAAAAAAAATTGAAGAAATGAAAAACCGAAAACCTCAGTAGTTGAAAAATCGAAAAGTTGAAAAACTGTGTAAAGTTAAATTATCTAGAAATTGTTAAAATGGAAAAAAAAATGTTGAAAATAATTAAAATCCAATAACTTAAATAATAATAAGTTTATTACGCCAAAAAAAAAAAGGCAATACATAATTAGTTAAACAAAAACAAAAACAAATTATACAAATAACAATTTACGGCATTCTCTCTTGAATCTATTAAATGAAACACCAAAAAATTCTAGGTTCTTACAGTATTGGTTAGCAAGTAAAATCATACTGTTCAAGGGAGAATGAAGCGTATAATTCCTTCGATGATAAGGTACAAAAAACACATAAGGGGAACGGACAGTTCGAACAGGTATATTAAAATAAATCATAGATAATAAATCGGGCGCATCTACTAAACCATTTACTAACTTAAAGATAAAACACAATTTGTGATAAATTCGACGATTTTCTAAACTACTAATTGATACATAACTAGCAACCAGCTGAGTATTCTCTAAAATAATGTTTTTTAAAGCAAGTCTATACATTAAATATTTAAGAAAATTGTTTTGAACAGCTTCAAAACGCCTGATGTGGGAAGAATAAAACGGTGACCAAATAAGAGTGTTATATTCTAACAAGGATCTTACGAGAGAACTAAATAATATGACTAATACACGTATATCATTGAAATCAGTAGACCACCTTTTAACACAACCTAACGTTTTCCTACCTTTAGAAATTATTGTATCATAGTGACAATGAAAACTTAACTTAGAATCTAGTAAAACACCTAAATCTTTAATTTCTTTGACCACAGACAGTGCAGTACCACATAAAATATAAGAACACGGAGATGAAGCAAATTTCCTGCTAAAACATATAACCTGACATTTATCTAAATTGAATGACATATCATTAATTTTGCACCATTCTTCAATTTTAATTATATCGGATTGTAGGACAACAGTATCAGTAAGTGTGCGTATGCTCTTAAACAATTTTAGGTCATCTGCGTAGAGAAGCGTATCCGATGTAATATTCGAAGCAATATCGTTAATGAAGATATTGAACAGAAGTGGGCCAATGACTGAACCTTGCGGAAATGAAAATTCATAAACTGACAAATCAAGAAAGTAAAAAATAGAAAAGTCGAAAGAACGAAAAGGAATATAGTCTAATTAGATAAAGAAAGAATGTGCGGATGAGAAGGGGTAGCACAATTAAGCATGTCAAATTTCCAAATTTTTGATTTTTCAATTTTTGGACATTACAATTTTTTCATATTTTTTCATGTTTCTGTTTCTCAATATTTACTTTTTATGTATCTCAATTTTTCAAGTTCTTGATTTTGATTTTTCATTTTCCCGATGTTAATTTTTCAATTTTTAAAATTTTGGATTTTCAATTTTTCATTTCTTCAATGTTTGTATTTTTTCAATTTTTTGAATTATTTATTATTTTCCATTTTTCAATCTTAAATTTTGGATTTTCGATTCGTCGGTTTTCCGATCTTTCGACTTCCAGATTTTTGAATTTTTCGATTTTTAAATTTTGGATTTTTGAATTTTTCTATTTTTTAATTTTTGTTTTCGAATTGTTCAATTTTTTGATGTTTTCATTTTTCGAAATTTCAATTTTTGAGATATTTCCATTTTCCAGTTTTTAAAATTTTCGATTTTTCTATTTGTCAGGTCTTCGATATTGCTATTTCCCAATTTTTCGTAATTTTAGTTTTGGAATTTTCAATTTCTCGATTTTTCGGTTTTCCGATTCTTCAGTTTTTCGATTTTACGATGTTTTGATGTTTCGATTTCTTGATATCTCGTTTTTCGATTTTTCAACTTTTTCTAGTTTTCGGTCGATCGATTTTGGGAACTTTTGAATTTTTCTATATTTTATTTTTCGATTACTTCGTCTTTGGACTTTTCGGATTTCTATTTCTTGGCTTTTCAATTTTTGAATTTTTGTTTTTTCGATTTTGAAATTTTGCAAGCTTTTTAGATCACAACTTTTCGTTTTTTCGTTTACTTGAATAGTTTTTCGCTTATTAAATTTTTCAAATTATCAATTCCTCGATTTTCCAATTTTAAAATTTTTCCGATTTCTTTAATTTTCAATATTTCGATTTTACAATATTCGTTTTTTCAATTTTGCAGTTTTTGATTTTTAAGTTTCTCAATCTGTAATCTTTCGAGTTTTCAGTTTTCCTTTTCTTCAATTTTCCAAGGTCTTGATTTTAAAAATTTCATCTTATACTTTTTCCTAGTTTCATTTTTGATTTTTCAGTTTCACAATTTTGCAATTTTTCCTTTTTTTGATTCGAAAGATGAGAAATCTAGAAATTAAAAATCTAAAGTTGGAAAGACGAAAAATTAAAAAATCCAAAATTTGAAAAACCGAACCGGAATGAAAATCGATAAATTGAAAAAAAAAGGATTAAATCAGAGCACTAAATAAACGAACATTTGTAAAAACAAAAAAATGTGTAAAAATAAAAAAATTAAAAAACCGAAATGAAAAACTGCAAATCGAAAATTTGAAGAAATGAAAAATTAAAGAAACGAAAAACTGAAAAATTAAGAACTTTAAAAATTGAAAAACGGATAAATTTAAACTGGAAAATGAAAATTGCAAGTCGAAAATCTGAAGAAACAAAAGTCGAAAAATTGAAGAAATATAGCAAAAAAAATGATAATTTTTCAAAGAAACGGGAAAATTAATTCCTAGAACATTATTTACAGATGCATGTTTTATTCCAAAAATCTGACGTAATGATTTTAAATTGACTCTAACATTTCGTCAGACAAATTTTTTACGAAAGTAGGTACAATAGAATTTTATTAAAAAAAATGTCCTTCAAAATGAAAATAATTACGCATTGTCTGATAATTTTCAAATTGTTGTATAAAGTACTAATTACCCTATCCTTATCACGCAGACAGATCCTATCATCTCATAAAAAAATCCTGAAGTAGTAATTCAGAATTAAAATCCACTTGACTGAAAAACGCAAAATTTGCATTAAAATTTGTATTAAAATTTGTTTGCAAATTCTCTGTACAATTACACAGTTTTTTTGTGCTTTTTTTGGGTAATGTTTTCAAAGATCTAGAAAATTTGCTGCAACCAAAGATTTTACAATTGACGTAGTAGACGTATGTCTGTATTATGTCAGTCATTGTTGTCCCAGATTTAGATTAACTTGACTGATAATCATGCAACGTCTGTCTGCCAGACAGTACGTGTACCAAAAAGAAATTGTATATTTATTTTTTCAAGTGTCTGGCTTCACTCACTTGAAGCTGGCAAATGTGGAGGTATTTTAGAGAGTGGTTAAGTAAATACGTCATCAAGTTTCTCTTGTCTTTGTTTGATAAATGTAATTATACAGAAAAAAAACTAACAGTCTACAATTCCTCATTTTTTGACAGCTCGTACCCTTTGAAACAATCCCTGCATTTAGTACCTCTCCAGAACAATATAATACACCTTTCAATGCAAAAAATGGTTTTACTGCTATTCTTCCCAGATCGCTCCCCATAAAACTGCACTAAAACCCCTCATTATGCAGGCGTCGGCCCACTCAGGCGCGCTTCCTCAATCGTTCCCGTCTTTAAAAGTCGACTTAATCCAATTAAATTCTCCTTCAGACCCGTTAATCCTATTAATAATCCGTAATCCTCGATTGCACTCAAGCCGCCAACAGCGCCGACCCGGGGCTCCTCCTGCGCCGCCCCCAATAATGCAGGCCCTAAGAAAAGCTCTCGCGAAAACAATTTCCTTGAGCTTTTGCTGACCGTTACAAAGCGTTGCTTTTATCCTTCGTTAATGTCTAATAAAATCTTTAGGGACCAATAAAGCAAATCCACATAATCAATTTCTCCCAACGCAACCTGCCGACTCGTCAGAAGAAATGAGAAGAGAAAGAAGGAGAGGTTAAGGAGCTGGAATCGCGCTGAATAATTAATTGCCGGGAGATTGGGATGTGATGCGGGTATTTTTTGCCTCTTGAGTGATTGTGAGTGGGTCGTTCTGACCACCGGCTAATTCCCTGTTTTCGCGGAAAATACAAAAATGGAAAAAGTTTAGGGTTTGTTTCGGGGCAATCAGGAGTGAGGGACTATTCTGACGGGGAAATTTAACCACTTAACGGGAGATAGGCGGCTTTAGCAAGAGTGTTAATTGGAGTAATTTGGCTGCATGTGTATTATTACAAACCGCTATAAATTGCTGGCTAAAGCTTGCTATTAACCGGAAGTGGCACTGTAACGATGTGTACATTAAAACGTTGCTGCTGAAACGGCTTTAGCGAAATTCGATATGCGGAAATCGAATGAAGGATTCGACTCAAATAATAAAACTAGGATAAAAAGCGTTTTTTGCAACGCGCGTGTTTTGGAAAAGTGTTGAGCTACGCAAAGGTTTGTGGTGGGATAATTTTGACAAATGCTCAGGATCGTGTTTCGCAGCCTGCACAGCCCGTAAAATATGAGAATGCAGGTTTCCTGTTTCCGTTTGTGTGTGGACTGCTGGCGATTTTGTTACACGAATAATCTCCGAAACTACGGAATGGAATTTTAAGTGTACTTGACGATGGTAGTGAAGATAGCAAAGTGCGGACGAAACTTGTCGACCCCTCTATTCTAAAAATTACATATAAATGAATATGTATTCATACAATTCGAAAATTTTTTAGCGTGCTTTTCAAAAAATATCTACTGAATTAGCTAACTGATTTTGGATTATTTTTCCTTTTGTTGTTTACTCATTTCTTGTTCTATATTGTGGAATTAATGTTGTATCTTTGTTTCTTTTTTCCTCCTGTGTGGTTTTTTGTCAATTTGTATTTTCGTGTTTTACTTACGTCCATTGCATCCTTGACAATAATTCTAATAAATTTCCCTGTCATTTTTTGTTTATTGGTAATTGCCCTTTATATTTTTCACATTCGAGCCATTTTGTTTTTTTCTCACATTCGTCTGCACTACTTTCTGTCCTATATTTCTTTTATATAAGTATTATATAATAATTTTGTTTGTTTTATTTTCCTTTCTTTCACTCCCTCTTTCTTTGTCTTTGCTATTTGCATTTTTCAATTGTAATTAGATGATATTTCCATGTGTATGTTTTCTATTTATTTTTTATTCCTGTGTTTTTCGGCTGTTTTTGATTTCTCTTCAGTGTAATTTTGGTTTCTTCAATTTCTTGTATTGATTATTTTCATTTAATTTTTGTTATTGTTATCTTCTGATTATATACAGGGCGTATTTCCTTGTATTATAGCACTTTTGTTTTTACAGGAAATAAGACCGTTTAGTTTTTCAATTTAAACTGTAATTATTCTTTTTGAATATTTTTCTAATTACAATAATATGAAATTCTTCTCACAAGAAAAAAATTTCAAGTAATTGTGACAAAAATCAACTCGGATTTATAAATTACGAGTACATGAGTATATTATTTCATACATATAGATAACCTTAATACTCAAAACGATGACGAGACGTCATCAGAATGATGTTGCCGAGGACGATTAACCGAATTTTGGTTAGCGTTCTACAATCTACATCATATTCTTAAAAGACATATAAAATTGGACTGCAATCGGTTCGGTAGTTTCGGAGATTATCTGACTAATAAAAATCGACACAGGCAGACGAAAGACAAATTGAATTCGAAGATCCCTGTTTGTTCGTATTCTAAGGGTCATGAAACGTCGAAAAAACATGAAAGTAGGCATTCATCGGACGGACTCGATTACAATATTTCCTTAGCTCACGCTTATGATACAATCAATAATCTGGTACCATCCGTCAAAACAAATAATAATTATTATTCTCAAAATAATAAAAATATTGCGACATCATCCTAATCCGTCACAGCCCGTCATAGTTCGTCAGAGTCTCTCATATCACGTCTCATTCATTAAAATAAATTAATAATAATCAGCAAAAAATTTCCATTATCATAATTTTCATAGTTTGTTATAATCCGTCATCATTAGTCATAATCCGTTAAAGTCCGTGATAATTGATTAATTGATTTATTTATTTAATAATATATAATACGTCATATACGTCGTACTCCGTTAATATCCGTCACCATACATTAAAATAAATAATAATACCCAAAAGTTTTCTATAATTCGTTATCATCCGTCAAAATAAATAATGATTATTTCGTTATCACGGAAATAATATACCTAAATATTCTGTCATTATTATCACCCGTCTTAGACATAGTCCGTCATCATACGTTATAATCCGTCACAATAAATAATAAGCAAACATTTTCCGTCATCGTCATCATCCGTCATAATAAATCATACCAAGTATATATTCCGTCAGCATTATAATCAGCATCCGTCATAATCATTCAAAATAAATACAAATAAGTTAATATTTTGTTATCATCATTCGTTTTTGTTTTGTCATAGTACGTCATAATTCATTGAAATAAATTGATAATAATATTAATAAGCAAAAAAATTCCATCGTTATCATAATTCGTCATAGTTTGTCATAATATGTTAATAATAGTAAGCAAAAATTTGCCGTCATAATCAACATCCGTTATAGTCCGTAATAATTCGAAGTCATCCGTCACAATAAATCATAAGGAGTAAATATTCCGTCATCATTATCACCATCATCCGTCATAATCCGTTATCATCCGGCAAAATAAACAATCATTATTTCGTCATCATGGAAATAGTACACCTAAATTTTCCGTCATCATCATTACTCCCTTAGTATATCATAGTCTGTCATCATACGTTATAATCCGTCATAATACATCACACTAAGGTATATATTCTGTCATCATTATCATCATCCGTCATAATCCGTCAAAATAAAAAATGATAAGTAAATAATCCGTTATCATCTTTCGAAATAAATAATAATAACTAGTCTCTTATTATGAAATTGTATAAATATTTTGCCATCATCATCGTCATCATCATCCGTTTTTGTTTTGACATAGTACGTCATGATTCATCAAAATAAATTAATCATCATGGGCAAAAAATTCCCATTATTATCGTAATTCGTCACAGTCTGTTATAATACACCACAATTCGTCATCTTGCGTCATTATCCGTCAAAATAAATAATAAGCAAAAATTTTCCGTCATAATCACCATCCGTCATAGCCCGTCATAATTCGAAGTCATCCGTCATAACAAATCATAAGGAGTAAATATTCAGTCATCATTATCACCATCATCCGTCATAATCCGTTATCATCCGGCAAAATAAATAATCATTATTTCGTCATCATGGAATTAGTACACCTAAATTTTCCATCATCATCATCACCCGCCTTAATATATCATAGTCTGTCATCATACGTTATAATCCGTCATAATAAATCACACTAAGGTATATATTCTGTCATCATTATCATCATCCGTCATAATCCGTCAAAATAAAGCATGATAAGCAAATAATCTGTTATCATCCGTTGAAATAAATAATAATAACTAGTCTCTCATTATGAAATTGTATAAATATTTTGCCATCATCATCGTCATCATCATCCGTTTTTGTTTTGACCTAGTACGTCATGATCCATCAAAATAAATTAATCATCATGGGCAAAAAATTTCCATTATTATCATAATTCGTCACAGTCTGTTATAATACACAACAATTCGTCATCTTGCGTCATTATCCGTCAAAATAAATAATAAGCAAAAATTTTCCGTCATAATCCGTTATCATCCGGCGAAATAAATAATCATTATTTCGTCATCATGGAAATAGTACACCTAAATTTTCCGTCATCATCATCACCCGTCGTAATTTATTATAGTCCGTCATCATACGTTATAATCCATCACAATAAATAATAATAATCAAACATTTTCCATCTTCGTCATCATCCGTCGTAATAAATCATACTAAGTATATATTCTGTCATAATTATCATCATCCGTCATAATCCGCCAAAATAAAGAATGATAAGTAAATAATCCGATATCATCCGTCAAAATAAAT